CCCCCCCCCCCCCTGAAATTTTCTCAACGGATTTGCAATGATATAAAAAATGACATTTTTGAAGGAAAAAAGTCGGAATTCCGCCAAAAGACGGAAAAATCTCATGCCTGTTCACCACATCAAAGGACTTGCATTCAGGTTTGGTGACTTGTTGCTTTTCAGCAGCTTTCAAATACTTCTCTACATTAACCCAAATGGAAAAGTGCTCTGTCGCATACTGGTGTTTTCCAACCATTTGCGACTGCAAAATTTCAGAGGCAAAATTGAACGTTCGTTTAGTGTTGAATTTGTTTAGTGTTGTGACATTTGTGTGGTGTTGTGACCCTTACAGGCTTCCGTACATCCCTGACTTGTTGCCATTACTGTGGTTCAACAATTACAGAATCAGTAACACATTTTAACCAGATATTGTGCAAAACCCATTTAATGTACCAACATCATTAAACAATTTTGAAAATGTAAGAAATTGTGAAGTAAATTGGTAGGTATTAGTTGATTGTACTAGTACATACTAACTGCTTTATGTTAAATATTTTGTAATTATTATTTAGATGATAATTTTTTTCTGATTGTAATTAAAATACTTATAGATGTTTTTAATACCAACTTATTTTTCATTCTTGTCAGAAATTAAACACCTATGTTCCTTTTACAAATTGTGAATGTATTTTCATTTTTTCCAGGCACAATACCGTTTTCACAAAATTAAAGAGGGATTGTTTTCTAATTTTTTCTTGTTTCTCTTGCTGTTAAATTAAGTATACAGTGATTTATTAAGCTTTTGTATTATTACCAAAATTATTTTCAAATAAAAGTATTAAACGAATAACTTATGTTGTGTTGGTGAATATAGTTTACTTTTAAGAAATGACAACCAATAAATTTAAGATTTTTTTTTTTTTTGGTACATATATGAGGCTAAGGAAGGGGCATCCACATGTCAGTGCAAAAATTAGAAAAAAGGTAATATTAGACAACATCATGTATTGTGAAACCCTTTCCATTGGCTGATTTTTTTTTCTTTGGTGGGTTCCATCTTTTTAACTCACTTTTCCGAAAGTTATTTTGGCCACTGAAGTCCAGTTATATGATGAAAAAAAAGTTTTTGTTATTATTCAGCCAAATACACTTCTTTCCTTAACATTTGAGGTTATTGTCACCCTTTGCCTAAAACTCCTCAGTTACAGCCTTACATAGTCTTTTGGGCAATAAATAAATCTTCAGTGTTCAGTGACTAAATTAATTAACATTTACACGTCATCTTATGGGTAACATCACAATTGCTATTTGTCCACTCTGCCAATTTTCGTGATAAAATCTTGTTTAGGGATGAAGTTACACCCCAAACCAATTGCCATCTCACCTCAAAATAGAAAAGCGTTAAATTGACAATTAAAAAGTTTTGAGTTGCCTATGCTTATACATTGCAACGAGAAATATAAATGGAGATATTTTACATTTTCGAGGGTTTTATTGTTTTAAATCAGCACAAAGATAGATGCATTATTGAATAATTAGATGCAGGAAAAATCTCATTTTCCTTAACTGGATGATGATAAAGGGTAACAATATCCTTAAATAAGAAGTTAAGTGTTTAATACAGAATTGCAAATAATAAAGCCAGATACATATATTTCTTTTTTTTTTTTTTACCAATACATCTAAAAAAATCCAAATATTTCAGTTTTACTTTGGATTGATAACATTCAAAATTTAACTTCTCTATTTTATGATCATAGACATTTCTGTTCTGGACTATCCACATGCAACCTTAAATTAGTTTTCTTTACTTATTACTACAGATACATGTAAATTTTTGTTTACTACAGCTCTATAAAATTGTGAAATCTGCACTCAACTAGGGTATAAGCTATCACTTCATAGTTAACTGCTGAAAGACTACATTACAAAGAATCCTAAAATAAGTAGTACTAGAAAAGGCCAATTTATTCTAATGTTTTAAAAAGATAAATATATATAAATACACACTCATATTGTTTTTTTGTTTGGGTTGTGAAAGAAAAAGATTATACTTTCTGATTATTTTTTATGTTGCACACTTCAAAGCAAAAGTCATTGCTGTTTGTAAGATTACAAAGATATCATCACTGCAGTATTTCTTTGTACACTTAGACAAAGTGTTTTTCAAAACAAATTGGAATTAATACTGCTACGACACACACCATATTAAACTTCTGGCAATCGGCCTTTATACAGTCATAAATCCAGTTTGGGGAAAATGGCCAGAAAGCTACAGCACTATTGGTAATAGCCTCTATGCTGATGTTGATGTTGCATTGTATGAGCACTAACTATAGGCCTGTTTTCCAAGTCCCAAAAAGTGGCATGGGTTCTTTGACTTTGGTGTCCAGTTTGGGAGTGGTCTTCTCTTGCCTGTGTGTGCCACCAATTATAGTGTGTATTTATCCACTGTGATTCCTGATGACGTCGATGGTTAAATCCTGTAAAGCACAGACATACATAAACAGACATAGAAAAGACATGCATTAACATGAAAAGCAATCTGTGAAAAATGCTTTTAAATCAAAATCAATATCAGTTTCTAGAGTAAGTATCTCGGTAAAAACAGTGGCAGTTATGATATACTGTACATGTATAACAAAATGTCAACATCAATTTAAGCTTGACACATAGGGATGATCAGAGTGTGCCCCCTGGCACTGAGTAGAATGCAGAAAAGCTGGTGATTTTACAAGTACTCTGAGAACAAGGGGAGGTTTGTTAGTCTGTGAAACTGATTGCATTCAGCGAGAGATCCCTCGGAGTTGGATCCATCTAGAGACCAATAGTTTCAGTGGGGATGAGCCCTAAGATTTACAGATCAATAACTAAGGTTTCACAACAAACCCTACTTTGTCACTCAGCTGTTAAAGTTCTGTATTGAAAGACCTGCTATTATGCTGAGGAGCTCCTACAACAGGCATTTAATCTTAACTTACAATAGCCAGTTTTTCAATTACTGACACTTTGTTCATATTTCTACCATGTCAAAAAGTGCAAAAAGTGGTAGAAATCCCTCCCATACAGTTGCAAGTGTACATATGCAGGCCAGCAAATTCAAAAGGAGGTTCTTTTTCTGAAAAACTGGACCTTTTACAATGAAACTTATGTGTACCTAGATAAAATTTTACCCAAAATAACCCTTTTCCTGACAAAAAGGGTGGTTCTTTCTAACCCCCTGGCTACAGGCCTGATATGAAAGTTCCCTATAGTGTTATCGCGTGGTAGAAGCTCTCAAAACAGTGCTGTATTTGGACTGCGAAAGATTCAAAAAAAGTCCTACGTGAAAATGTTGGCTTACAGCCTTTCTGTTCCTTCATTGTTTGTGATATCTTGTTTGGAGAAAAATGCATAAAAAATCAATCATGCTTTTTATTGTTGTTTCTGAAGTAGCCCTACTAAACTTCTTGTATCCATCACTTTATGAATAACAAACATTTTCATATTTATCTAGAGAATGTAAAGAAATATAATTGATCTGACCATGTTGGTGGTGTTGGTGAGGCAGTTGCTGCTGTCTTGGCTGCACAGGAACAGGTGTAGACCGCTGCTGCTGCTGTTGTTGTGGCTGTCTCTCTTGTTGCTGGTGTCTTTCCTGCTGCTGATGTGTTGCTTGCCCCTGACGCAATTGCAATTCCTCTTGTTGGCGTTTTACCCTCTGTCTTTCATTCCATTCTTCTTGTTCAGCTTCAAACATTAAAAAAAATAAAAAATAAAAAACTTTCAAATTAATGAAAGCTAAAGGGTATATGTAAATGTAATTTAAATCTGTGATAGGCATGATATAGATTTTTGTCACAACCAAACACAATCACCTCAGCACAATACTGCAAGTATATTTTGACAAGAATATTTTGTGATAAAGAGTGAGGTCATTTTACAACATGAAAATATTGTTTTACCATACACAGCTAAATATAGTAACAATTTTATCAAATCTTTACTGAATATGCAATAAAACATTCAACAATTCAAAGAAATGACCCCTGAATATTATATCAATTTGTTTTACCTTTCCTTTCTTCAACCACTTGCCGTCGTCTCTCTTGAACATCCGTTCCCAAAGTTGCAACTAGATGTTCGATGTGATTATCAAGCACACGATTAGGCAACTTTTTCTTCTTCTTGAAGGCCTTTCGACATAGTGGACACACATTGTTTGTCTCCATCCATTTGTCCAAGCAAAGTTTGCAGAAGGAATGTGAACAATTTAGTATTAACGCCTGGAAATGGAAAAAGATTATTCCACTGGGATGGAAATATACTAATCAATACAAGACTGAAATGTACTCAGGTTAGTAATTTCAACGTTTAAATCTCTGAATTGATAAAATATTGCCTATCTAAGTATCACTTGCTTTAAAACGATTGGACACACCTTTGCAAACATAGTCTGGAGATTAATACTTCAAATTTGTATTAGTTATAGATGTCTACCTCAATAAACATTTCATTGCAAATGCTGCACTGAAGTTCATTTTCCATTCCCTCTTCAAGCTTCTGCATAATCTAAAAAGATAGAAAAAACAAAAACAAAAGTTTTTTTAAGACATGTTAATTTGTATATTTTCTTATAGCTATTGTCTAAAACTAACACAATGCCATCCTTCATAGCTATGTCTTTTTTCAAAAGTTCAATAGATCAAATCAGTGGAATAGAGAAGAAATTACCTCGGCTCTGTACTGCACACAACTTCAAACTACTCGATGCTTACCAATAAAATAACACCAAAAACAAACATCATAAAGCCAGTCGACTAAATCTCATTAACAACATTAATTGTCATCAATAAACATAAATCAACATTCCATACCTCCTCTTTCTTCTGGAGTTCTTTCTGAAGGAATTCCTGTTGAGCTGCCATTTCCTGCCTGGTTTCCTGCACTCTGGTCTCCACTTGGAGAGAACACTCTTCTTTTAACTGAAATAATAGAATTACAAACTGCATACGTGTTGCTATTGTAAGGAAGGATGAACTTATCATTAATCATCAAAACCATTCAAATTCTTCAGATATGAACTTCAAGATGGATAAAAATTTGTTGAAATGGGAGAGCACACCTTTTCCTTTTCTTCTCTGTGCTGATTCAGCAAAGTAATCCTTTCAGTTTTCAGTTCCTGGAGATAGTTGCTGAGGTAATCAATTCTGGAAGTTAGATCTTGTTTCTCCTTTTTGAGAGTCTCTTTGTATTCCTCGTCTTTATCTTTTACTAACTTTGCCATTTCTGCCTGAAGTTCTTGCTCAATCTAAGTGTAAAAAAGGGTGTGGTATTAGTCACATAAGATCCAATATTAGAAAGACCAATTTGCCCCTGCAAATAACAGAGAAAACCATACCATAGTTATTTTACAGCACAACTTATAAATGAATTCACTTTTTTTATAAACTAACAATTAACCATTTCAAAACAAGAGAGACTTGTGTAAGAATCTACAATTTATAAAACTCTACATTGTCATGCAAAAGTTACAAACAAGTTACATGTAGGAATATACAATGTAAAATAATACACTGCTTAAGAAAAATTAATTACCTGACCAATGACTGTCTGAATACATGTACAAAAGAAAACTATTGTTCTTCATACATTTAAAATGTTCACAGAAACCCCACACTGTTGACAAACAACGTTACTACAACACACAAAATTACCAAATCTTTCTCTGCTTTTAACTCTTTGATTTCATTCACAAACATCTCCATCATGTTCTCTTCTTTCTGTATCAACTGCTTCTCTGTTTTCATCTCCAGATCCTGCTTCTGTGCTGCCAGCAGATCCTAGGAAAAATCAGAAATTATAAATAGCTTAGAAACAATGAATTCAGTTTAATGATATATCACATTTTGCTTATTATGCTACATTTCACAGCTTACAGACGTTAAGGGCAATTTTATTTTATTATTTTTTTGCATGGGTGGTCTCCACAAAAAGGATGGTGTCTATAATACTGCAATCATCCACCATTTGTTCAATTATAAAACATTTTTGATTGCAAGAGGTAATGCATTCCTTCAACTTTGCTTCCTAACAGCAATCCTGCACATGCAATCCTGTTCCAGAACCAGACCATTGACAAAAAATGTTTTATAGAAAAATTGTCATTTACCCATTTTTTCAAATGTTTAGCTTAACATTTTTTCTGATTACTCTTATAAAGCACTGACCTTGTCTTTTTGAACTTTCTTCAACTCTGCTTTCAACATCTTAATCTCACCAAGATACTTGCTTTCAGACTCGGCACGAATGATGCTTGTACGGCGACGGTTCTGGGTCATTTTCATGAGTGCCTGTCTGGCAGGAGACACTTCAGAGGCCTGTCCATCAGCAATGTCACAATAAGGAATTTCAAAACTCACAGCTGAAACTATATGTTTTACTTGTTAGAATTAATTATGAGAATCAATATGGACAATTAAGAAAAACGACTATGACCAATATTAAAGCATACCAAAGTAGCATTTATACACTGTACATATCAATATAAGAGGATGTGGTGACATGATATTTGAAAAAAATTATTGAGATAATAAATCAAAGGCTTCATACACATGCATGAACACATGAATGTAAAACATTTCTAGACTTTAAGTTAACAATATATTAAAAGTGATTAGTTATTAAAAGTGTGTATGTGTGTGTGTGTGATCATGTTAAAACATGCGTGCAATTACACTCACCATTAAGATCAACTGGCACTGCAGAGGCAGCAACAGGCTTCATTGGGTTCAAGCACTCTTCTCCAGTATTTTTGCTTAAATCCACGTTTTTGTCCTTATTGCCTTGCACGTGAAAGTTATGCAATTCCACCACAGAAGTTTCAACATCCTTGCTGTTACTTGACGGATCCTTCTTTTGCTTTTGTCTGTTTCCTACTAACAGAGCCTCCACAAACTGTGAGTTTTTGTCTGCTATGACATTTCCATTGACTTGGGTTTCTGTACTAGATACCATCTCATTTACCAGTATTGCTGAACATTCTGGTTCTGGTTGTCTTTTCTTTTTTTTCTTTCCTGATTTCTTTTTTTGCAAAATTTCAGAAGGAACAACTGGGTCAGTGTCATTGGATACTTCTGGCAATTCTTCAGCAATTTCCAGGGAAAGTTTGTTTTTAAGTTTTTTCCTTGCTCTTCCTTTTGGAGGTTCATTTTGATGAGTTTCTTTTGCTTCACTTTGTGAATTACTGTTTTCCAATAATATCACTATTTCTTCTTCTGTTTGTTTTTCACATGTACTTTTGACAGTATCTTTCTTTGAAGCACCTTTGCCTTTTCTTTTAGGTTTCTCTGAAGGTACAGCCTGGATGTCAGGTAACTCTTCAACCTGG